TCTTTAATTATATGGGGAAAAAATAATAATAAGTGGGACAAAAAAGCAAAACCAGAGGGAATCTGAGCTATAAGCTACTTTGGAGCCCTGTATGAAAATGTGTAGTAGAGTATTTTCTCTAAATCATTCATTTCTGAGCCAAGTTGAGAAGAAATAGTAGTTCATTATTTTTGTCTGCAGAAAAAGATTAGTAATATGTTTTTTGTTTGTTTGTTTAGAAAGGCAAGCAGTAGCTAATTTTTTAGCAGCAAAACTCACACAGCTTTGTAATAATTTAATCTTAAAAAAACTTTGAAAGGCAGCAGGTTTTGTTTAACACCTCTGTTGCAGGCTTTGCCTTATATGCCTGTAGCCATCTAAACCTGAGCCTATAGGCTATATATAAGTGTGCAGTCCTGAATAATAAATGGCATCTACCACAAAAGCGGCTCCCCTGCTGCATTGAATTAAGTGTGATTGATCCCCATATCACCACTGGAACAATATGAACCACTGCAATGGAATCCATGTCAATTGCCTCTATCAAATATCAACTCAAGGGGTGTAAAGTAAGATTGTGTATATAGGCAGGGGATTGGGGGGTGCTTGAAAGCACAGAGTAGCACTTTCAAAGGCACAGACCATTAAGCCATGTGCCTGAATGTGAATGAGAAGCTAGTTGGGTCACATCATGCTACCAAAGAGGCTAGGCTTAATTAAACTTTCATCTGACAAATATTCATGCACGTCTAATGATCCTGAATCACTTCATTCCACATGAATTATGAATATTAATGATCAGAAAGGAAAGAAAGTGGGTTGTGTGTGTATAAGATGGCGCCCTAAGGAAAGATTGGGGTTAACGAAGAGCCACCAGTCAGTTGGCTTTGCAGTTCCACCAAACACCCGTAGGCTGGAGGTCATAATTGGAAGTGTGTATAAAACATGAGTGTGTATAGATGTGTGCGATTAGCTTGATTTTACTCCTCTTGTGCAACTAAGTGACCATGAAAACTCACCCACATTAAATCAGCCAAAGGGAAATTGTTTTTTTTCTCCCTCTGTCTCTGGGGTCCTTTACTTTTCTCCCCATGGCAAGTATAAGAATCAAGTGTTGCAAAAAAAAAAAAAAAATAGGTGGTAGATTCATACCTGTATCACAAAGTCTGCCTGTCTGACATTTTATACTCCAACTTTTATTTAATGGTTCCAGATGTAGACACAGCAGAAATGCTGATTGTAATTTAGCACAATGACTTTATGGATGTGAAATGGTTAAATTTAGACAGATTCAAACAACCATGAGTCCTTGTCAGTGCATTGGCTCATAAGAAGGAGCTAGAAGATTCTAAGTTTCCCTACAGCACATTAAATTTCAAAGGCTTGATGCATCTGCTTAACAACATAATGAGAGTTACTTTTATTGGCATAATACATAATGTGATTTACTGATGATCACTGCCTAAGCTGTAATATTTCACGTTTTATTCTGCATAAAAAGTAGCAAAAGCAACAAAAAGGAGAATCTGTTCCAATAATATAACAAAAGGTAGCAGTAGCAGTATTTATTATGTTGTTTTATTTTTCCAGCTCTTTCCATTACATGTAGCTTTTGGTGGGAAATCCAACTCTATTGTGGAGCCCTGACAACCTTTATTTGAGTTAGCCCCCCCTGGACTTTACTGTCAGATTTATTACATAATTTAAATGTCATAAATGGATGGATGGATGGATGGATGGATGGATGGATGGATGGATGGATGGATGGATGGATGGATGGATGAATGGCACCTTCTGTATGTCCTCATATCTTTTTTTCAAAATGGCCTTGTGGCACCTGTGGATCAATGCTGCCACCTAATGGTATTCTTATTAACTCTTCTGCAAGTTGCTTTTATATAGTATAACAAAAAACATATTGAATAATATCAGCTGTAACAACAATAATAATAGCATGAAGAAAAATAAGAAAAGGTGCAAGAAAAATGCACATGCTTTAATTTTAAGTAACTAATATATTGTTTTGCATCACATTGATAACACCAGACTAAAATAGTGCATATTTGCACTATGTATATTTGTCTTGAAATGCTCTGAACTTCCATATCAATGCATTTTTTGCACTATGTTTTTTTCTCCCACACTGTTTACATTTGATCACTGCTGCACCTTATGGAATTAGAATGTTCATTTCACTGCTAAGCTGCTGCTCATTTACTGTCTGAAAGCTGTACAAAACGAAATGTTGTTTTCTATACACTTTGTGTATACAAAATGACAATAAAAGTTGTCTAAGTCTAAGTTTTGCAAACAATATGCTTTAAAGTTCTCCTTAAAGGTAAAGGTTTGTCATGCCTAGTTATTGTGTCTGCCTGCTTTATCCACATGTTCTTAGTAGTCACATTAAAACTCTATACTATTTGTAAATGTGGGCAGTAATACAACCAGGGGGATAATTAGAGCAATTACCATGTAGGAAATAAAAATAGATTCAAAGGTTTTATTCAATTAATAGTGCTGCACAGGTGTGATTTTTATGGCATAGTTTTAATACCTCCTGTTGAGAATAAAAAGCTGTGAGTGTTTTTGTTGTATTGCTGATTTACATGCAGAAGAACATATGTTAACAACAATGCCTACAGTTTTACAGAAGGGTTTGTCACATGAAGTGTAAAGCCAAAGCTCTGCCAGGCATGCAAAGCATATGTCATAAGCATAAGGTGTAGATTAGATTTCCAAACAGTGTGTCTTTTGCATGCTCCTCGATTTCATATTTAATTAAAACATAAGAAAGTGAAATGTTTCACGGTTCTCACTGTGGTCTAATTTGCCCCCCCAACTGCTATCTAAGCATGGCAGAATCTGTGAGGGTTTTTTTTCCAGGCATGAAGGAGAAATAATTCATTACTAGCCAAATGTATCCAATTAGCATTGAGAATATGCAGAAGAATTCATCTGAGGAGAAAACCCTATGAAATTGTTTGCTTAACCACAGACAGTAGAAATCTGTGGCTCAGGTAGTTTGAGGATTGTAAAGGATTTAAAACTGTACCCTATAAAAAATATATATCTATATATAGATCTATATAGATCTATATATAGATATTTTAAAAAGATGTAACATTGCTTGCAATTTAACGGTTAGAAAAATATTAGGCTATTCTATGTTTCAAAATCTTTAAACATTAAATGCACTCTGTGTTAATCATACAACATTAGAACGGTATTGCCCTCTGTGTTAGCTGAACTTAGAATAAGTTTACATCAAACTCCTTTGGTAAATTAAAGAGAAATCCAGCTTAGATGCTAAAGTTACATTTAATTTAAAGTCAAACATGTTGTATTTCACAACAGCATATTCCTACATTGTTGAAATGAAATTAATTTACACGCCTATTTCTAAGGGTTTTAAATCTTCAGAAATAACAGTACAATCAAGATGACTGCAGTGTGGACACGATCTGTTGTTGTAGACAAATATTCAGAAAGTACCAAAAATTTACAATGGGGATGATTTTATTTGCCAGTTTCTGTAAGATGCAGAAATAGAAAGGAATTTTTTTTTTTTTCCCACTTGCATAATCTCACTCAATTGAATAATAAAAAATACAAGCTTTCATTTGAGTGGTACATGTTTTCAGTTGGTCCTTAAGTACAGTAGTCCTGTCTCACTGGATGTCTCTCAAACCCTTGCAGCCTCAGATTTATGCCTCATTTTTTAATAAATGGAACTAAATTGAACTCACATTAGAGAAATGTACCTATGCATTTAACCCATCCCCTTGGGGAGCAGTGGGTTGCCATCGTGGGGCGCCCGGGGAGCAGTGATCCTACATGTTTTAATCGTTTTCATTTAAGATTTAGAATCAGGAGCTGGAAGGTAAAACAAAACTTAAATATTAGAACTTTAAACTAATTGAGACATATGTGCACAATAGATGTAGATGGATGGATGGATGGAACACTGAAACTTTTTTGATTTTTTTTCTCCAATTTTTTATTTAAAAATTAGGTGGTTGAAAATTGTTACCTTTGTTTAACTTTGTTTTGAGTAAATTAACAAGTCCTGAACACTTGGAAACTTTCTTTCAAGCATAACTTCTCCCCTCACACATTTATGATATGAAATAATCAACCTCATGTTATCATAAATATGACTCTATTAAATATTTGAATTGAAGAATTTACCCATAAAAAGGATTAAACAAATATCGTTCTATGCATTCCAGAAAACTCAAAAGTATAACTACCAGTTTATTGTTGGTTGTACATACATTTATCAGTAATGATTAATAATCTGACTTGATGGCTCATTTAACAATGGAGATGTTTCTTTCAATAGTCAATTTAGTAATTCATTAAATCGATGGAGATGGATCCTTCCTCACATAAACATTAATATCTGGACAAACTCTAATAGATTTACTGCCCACATAAAGTTAAGAAATATTAAGATATTAAAATTTCACAGAAATATTGACCCTGTAATGTCTTTATTAAAAGATTTACACCTGATGTTTCCTGTTTATTCTGTCTCTCTCGCATTTATTTTATGAATGTCTTTATTCGACTGACTTGAACTCAATGTCTTAATCATAATGGGATTCTCATAAAGTTTTCATCACTATTACTGGAAATATGGTCTTATTTTTAATTTTAAATAAAAAATAAGGAAGTTATTGATATAGTAAAATCGGTGTGCTTTTTGGGTAAATTTCATAGGATAAACCTTTTTTCTTTAATGCAGAACCTAAATATTTTTGTACTCTCTTTTTCATTGTTATTTTTATTTTATGTAATTATCCTTTTCAAGCTCTGCTTCATTATATTTTTGTCACATTCTCTGTGTACTTTAATGTTGTTTCGTGTTTGTAAGATATTGTCTATTGTATGTAATATGATATCTCTTTGTAAAATGATTTTGATGAGATAACGCTCTAAAAGAAAACAAGAACGAACACAAGTTTTACATCCTCCTGACACTAAGCGGCGCTGTGCGCTCAAACCTTAGTTTGTTTTAGGCTCTAGAAGAAGACGGAAAAAGAATCGAGCCTTCCGTTTGAAAGCCGCGGTGTTTTTGTTTTAAGTGTCAGTGTTTGTTTCCGTAAAAAAAAGTTTCACTAGCCTCTCAAACACAATGGGAATCGAAGAAGAAGCGGACCGAACTCTTTTTATTCGAAATTTGGACACCAGAGTGACGGAGGAGCTTCTGTTTGAGCTGTTCTTACAGGTGCTGTTGTTGTTAGCCTCGAGCTAGCCAATGCTGCGTTGTTTGTAACGGCTATTACAGATTATTAGATAGTGTTTAAGGAAAAAAAACAGGCCACACGCAACACATAATGCTGTTATACTTGCACACTAGTTGTAACTTTGGTTCGGCACCCTTTTTTTGCAGCTTCCTTTGTTTTTATTTCGCTCCCCATAGCTGCCCTGTCAGTATGTCATTTGTATGTTATGTTTTGGTTGTGTTTGCAGGCTGGACCTCTCGTCAGAACTAAAATTCCCAAAGATTCGGATGGAAAACAGAAAACATTTGGCTTCGCCGTCTACAAACACGAGGTGTCCGTGCCTTATGCAATGCAACTTCTAAATGGAACTTCCCTGTATGGGAAAACCATCCAAATCCAGTTCAGAACGGGTGAGCACACTTTTTTATTGGTCCTTTGTTTTGTTTGTTTTGTACACTGAAAGATTCATTGTCAGGTACCTGAATGCGTTTATTGTATCGGAAATCAAACAAACCCTCTTGAGTTTAAAAGTATGTGTAACAGCTATATCAATAGGTAACGTTAAAATAAATAACCTTGCTTTTTTGGCTAATCTACTAAAAGTAAACCCTAAACAGTGTTTCAGATTATGAATGCAGATCTGCATATGGGGAGAATAATGTCACAATTACTAGAAAGATCCTCCAACTCGTATAGCCGTTTCAATCAGTGGTTGGGTTTTACACACATCTAATTTGTGTTTATAACTCTGGGTCGTGTATAATTTAATTTAAAATGATGTGTTTAAACATTGTATGGTGTAAACTAATTTATGCAAAATAAATCTTATGACTAGACATAAGGTTGCATTAAGTCCAAATCACACTGGACACTATTTAGTGTCTGATCTGAAGTTTAGGCCCTTGTTTTATTTTTGCTCAGACATATGCAGCAATTTCACTAGAATCTTAGGAATCAGACAGGAAAAGAGACATGGTGACTAGTTGAAACACATCCCTGGGGAAAATACGAAGTGAAATCCCTCATTTGCAAGGTAAAACATTCAGGTTCACCCATATACGTTTTTTTTTTTAAATATACAGGAAGATAGCCATACATGAACATACAATTAATAAAACATTTCAATAAACAGTGTACTTTACCCATAGTTGGAGCTCAGAAGTGCAGAAAACAGATAAAGTGAAACGGCAATCTACTCTGAGCTTTTTAGAGAAGCATTTGCACATTAAATCAAGGCATGTGAAGCAGCAAATTGAAATCGATTGAATTTGGATCAGCTCCGATAAAAAGCTAAAGTGCTTAAATTAAATCAAACAAGAGATCCACTCCTCCTCTATCTTGGGAAAGGGAAGTTCCCAACCACTTTTTGTGGCATGTTGCTTTAACGAAAAGAACAGGTAGTGGTTCTCTGGGTTTGGGTGATTTAAAAAAAAAAAAAAAAAAAAAAAACTGACATAGGATTACTTTAGTGTCTTATGTATTGACCAAAAGGTGTCGACTTTGCACTTTAAACTGTTACCTTTTGTATCATAGTTACTAGTTTCTTAAAAAAATATATATATTTGAAACATAAAAATCACTTAGCCTGTAAGTGGGCCAAGTAATTCCTGGATATCTGACAGGTATATAATGTGTTCAGTGAAACCTTGCTGCAAGTTCCCTGGTTGGAATTCCAAGGCTGTCACTCTGGGTCCCTAAAAAAAACACCTAGACTCATAACGTAAAGTGGAAAACACAGCTCCCTAAGGGACTGGTTGAATGCAGAACACATTTCAGGGAAAATTAAGATGATTATTACTATACAGACGTGCATTCAAGTCAGGTGAAAGCTTTTTATAAAACAAAAGTACCAGCATTAAAGGTTTAGGAAACCTTGGACTGTGATAAGCTGGACTACCTGTAGCTGACAAAAGCCTTCCTCATAAATGTCTCAGATTTTAGGTTAATAAATGAGGAAATAGAAAGTTTTGTGAAGTCTGTACAAAGGGCGATGCTTTAAAAGCAACTGCTTAAAGTTACACACTATTCACACTGCAGCCTGAAGTGACCCAAATCCGACTTTTTTTTTTTTTTGCCCGTATGCGACCTGTATCTGATCTTTTCATGCAGTCTGAACAACACAAATGTGATTTTTTTTAATTTTCCAATGAGACCTAGGCCACTTGGCTATGTAGTTCTGAATCTGATCTTTTCAAATGCAACCTGTGTCTGAATGACTAGGTTGCATTCATCCGACCCGAGTGTCATTAACAACAAAGAAGAAGAAGCTAAATGAAAAACAACAACAATGGCAGACAATTATTTGTTTAACATCTTGAAAAGATTGATTTTTAAGGTTGGGAAAGAGCTAGATGCGCTCCAGTACTGCCATCTATGTTTACTTCCGCTGGCCTGTGATGTCATTGCACCCTCTACTGCACATGCAGGACACTTGCGTTGCATTAATGCAGTTCAAACAGGAGATCACATACAAGTCGCAAGGAGGAATGTGAACGGCAATGCAAAAAAGAAAAAAAAAAACAGATTTCACACAAAAATTGGAATTGAGTATCAAGGCCTGCAGTGTGAATGTAGCCTTAGAGTAGAATAGCTGAGCACACCATGCAGCCTATAAATAAAATAGCAGTGCAAGTTTTCACCAATGATGAGGTGCCATCCTTTGAAGTTGTGGGATGTCTGAAATGGTTAATTTTGTTTTGACTGAGCTGATCCTTGCTTTGATAAAGGTTTGGTCCGAGTTTGGAAAGGTTACATGTGTTATCAAGGTTCACTGTGCCCTGGTTAAAAAAAAATGGTTGGGATCTGTTTTCTTTTACTAAAGATGAAAAGTAAAAAATAAACCAAGATATTATTAGCAAAGAGAACAACAAAGGTCAAGTCTAGAGCTGGAGTAGCTGGTGCATGAGGGAGGAAGAAGGAGAGAAATCAGGAGAAATATTTTATCTTGGGGGATTTTCATACACTGAAGAAAATGTTTTCTTAATTTGTTTACAGGTATTGATGTAGGCACTCTCTTCAGTCTGTTTGAGGCTTTTATATTGTTCATATTGATATTAAAATTATATCCTGGACTGAAATTAAGTACTGCATCAGTTTTGGCCATATTATTGTGTCAAATAAGTATCAAAAAGGTGTAGACAGAGGGTTTAAAAAAAGATTTTGTTAGTACTGGTCCCTTAATGTAATTATTTTCAGAGGAATAAAAATGTATAATTATATTGTGAAATAAAATAAGGAGCTTGATAAAGCAGATTTGTCTTAATATCGGCTAAGACTTATTTTGTATTTTGCGCATTTAAAAAAGGAAAGATGCACAAAAATCAGGAATGCAAAATAACACAAATTTAGAATATAAAATTTTAATTTTGTGCTCTTTCCTTTGTTCCATTCTAGGTAGCAGTCATGGCAGTCCAGGAAATTCACAGAATTCAAGTCCAGCAAACACCCCAAATCCTCATGGCCAAAGGTAAGATTATCTGACTATTTCTTTCCCTTGTATTTCTAGGGAATATTAGGTCTGGGCTTAATAACCTTGTGTGTGTGTGTGTGTCTATATATCTCTATATATATATAGAGATATATATATATATATATATATAGAGAGACAGACACAGTAGTGAGTGTTGAATAAGCTACAATTGTTTTCAATTTCTAGAGGTGCTATTGAAATGACATGTTCGCCAGATGTCAGTAGCAATCCACACATACACAGAACTCAAACCATAGATTTCCAGAAATTGAGTTTTGTTTAATAAAGTAAAATGACAGTAATGATGTTTTGCAGGACTTATTATGGCAATTCTACAATTGGGACAGGGTAGTTGATGTCATGTTTACCTAAGATATTTTTTAGAGATTAAATAAATCATCCCTTTTCACCTCAGAGTATAACTATTTTCACATTTATAATAAATGATGAAGTAAGAGTAGAACATTAACATTTTCTGATTTGGAGATCAACCGATACAGGTTATTTTAAGGCCCATGCTGATTAGTTTGGTATCTAACCAACCTCAAAATGTGCTTTTCTGAATTTTTTTTTATTTATTTATTTTTTATTTTTTTTGACTCAATTTACAGATCTACAAATGGCTCTGTGATAACAAATGTTATATGGTTCTCAATTTAAACAAAATAGAAACATTTATGAATTAATTAGACAAAACATTAAATGGAGGGGAGGTGGCAATGCATGCACGCCAAGTGTGGGTCTACAATCTGATACCTGCGATGACAGTACTGCTGCTGAAGCTCCTCAAAAATGAAATTGGCGCACAGAAAAGTAGTGAGATTTTTGGTATCCATTCTTTGCTTGTTTTATGAGACAACTGTCACCGTTGCTAGGCGACAGAGCTAGGGGATGGCTTGACCTGTTCGGTTTTATAGATGAACTTTCAGCCTCATTATTTTCAATGCCTTCGAAAGACACCCAGGCTACCTGGACGGGGTCCTTTGGAGAACGCATCCGGCAAAATCAAACACAGCGAATGATTTAGCGTTGGATGGGGAAGGATCCAGACTAAAGAAAATGTGGACGAGAAAGCTAATCTAACATTGGAAATTTTATCCATAAAGAGGTTTAAAGGTCATCGCAGTTCTCCTTTGAACAAGCAAAAGTGCCAGGAAAAAACTAGAGAAGCAATTCTCTGGTTTCAACAAAAACTTTAGAATCTTCCCCTCTCAGCACAAGTGGGGTTTTGCAAAGTATTTGATTCTTGTATATTTTTTTCAGTGACGTCTTTTCCAGAGATGTTCAGTCTTACGAGACTTTATTCTCAAAGTGACGGTTTCATCTTTAACCCAAGGAAATCCATGTGCATGTTTCTCCTTTCCTTTTTTCTTCTTTGTCCTTCCTTCATTTTTTTTTGATATTTTCCTCCTTCCCTCTGTTTTCATTTTATAATTCTTTTCTTCCTCATGTCTTTGAATTGGCTTACTTTCCTTCCTTTCTTTCTGTCCCTTGTGTTATCCCCGATCCAACCTTCTATATGTTCTCCTGTTCTCTTTCCTTGTATCCATTCATCCTTATTTCCTTCCTTTCCTCTTTCACGTGTCTTTTTTTAGTAAGAGCTCTTGAAAGTTGTACCTTTTTTTTGTACCAATTTTTTGTAGATCTGATTATTGTCCACAAACAGAAATATACTCATCTCTATAGAAAATATGCTCAGTAGTCAGTGCCGAACGAGACAAAAACATATACATTTGGTGAAAAGTGGCTAAATATCTTTGCCCAAAATCATAGTTAAACACTTGGAAAAAAAGTTAAACACTTGGAAAAAAGTTTCAATTTTATGTGCTATAATTCACAGAAATGCAGACATTTGCATGCACTTTTATCCATGGTGTTAATTTTCAGTACTTTCAATTTGCATTGAAAACCATGAAGTCTAACATATTTTTTAAATGACTTTTTCTGTAGACTGAGGAATGCCTTCATTTTGTTGTGGGGCCATAAACAAAGTTGTTTTTTGTTTGTTTGTTTTTTCCTTCAATTTTAAAGCATACTGATCCAAATGTACAATATATATATATA